GGTGTTCAATGATTAACCCGCAAATGATATCCATCCTAGCCTTAAAATTGGAGATTCTATTTTTATTTTATTTTATTTTTTTGCCTGAAACTCAGTCTTTCTCCATGTTTTAGTGCCTCCTCTCTGTTCTGAGAAGCTCAGAATTACCCAACTATTTTATGCAGAGCTGTAACAGTTTCACTCTTTCACCTTCCAGGCCATATCTGGGGGCTTTTCTTTCCCACTGAGTGTTATAAAAATGAGGAGTTCCTAAGAAGATTTTTGTCTCCAGCTTCTGAAACCACACTGTTGTTTTTCCTTGCTAAGCTTCCATCCTTCCTTTGATTCCCTACAGTTAATGACCATCTGGAGAAACCCAGGAGCCTGGTGCTTTCCACCCTCCCAGGACATACAGTGACCTTCAAGTCTCAGCCTGTCTTGTTCTGCCCCATGCTCCTGAGGAGTTCTCCGATACGCCCATTCCAAAAGATTCCTTCCCAATTAGTCTGATGCATTAATACAGAGATTTAATCCCATTAAACTATCACTCCCTGTGAAGTGTTCCTAACTGAAAATGGCAGAAATGTGTATGGATTGCATTTCGATAGAGGACTTGATGCAAAGTATTATATCAGTGGTTCTCAACTGGGAACAGTTTTGTCTTACACCTTGCTTCCTCCTGCCCTCACCAGGAACATCTGGCAATGTCTGGGGACACTTTTGGTTGTCACATCTCAGAAGCAGGAGAGTACCCCTGGCATCTAGTGTGTAGACAAAGGGTTGCTTTTGAAGATCGTACAATGTCTAAGATAGTCTTCTCACCAGAAGGGCTAGCGAATAGGGAAGTTTCATTGATAATGTTTGGGCAAAAATATTTGGGGAAAATGGTCTTCAAAGAACCCATGTAGACACATGTATCATTACCTCATTACTTCTTCTGCAGCTCATCCTAGAGGGACCACAAGCAGCCTGACGATCAGGCCACCTTGGGGTACTTGATAGGCACAGTCAGCACCTTGCTTAGTCAGGCCACCCCAAAATAGTTCATCAGGGAAAAGCAAATGTTGGGTGGATTTCCTTTGCTGGAGGAGAGTTTATTTCCATTTTCCAAGCTTTCCCTACTTGCATGTGAGTAGCACCCACAGTCAGGACACAGATTTCAATTCAGGGGCAAGGGACCTTGTATGTTTCTAATCAAGGTGAAAAAAATACCATTTTAACCAAAAGTAAGCACTCTACATGGAAAGCAATAATTTGGAGAGGTCAGCAGCATGGGTCTAGCTGCTGTGGAGAGACACTGAATTTATGAACACAGCCAAAGCATGCTGGCACCTAGAGGGGGTAAGCACTTAAATGGCAACACCAGGTGAAAATGTGGAATAATCCCTCAGTCAGGAATATAAGCCTTACCCAGGAGTTCACACGAGTATTTATAAGTAAGGTAAGCCAACAGTCTTCCCTGAAAATCTTTACAAACTTGAAAGCCACCTCTTAATAATGTTGTATAGGAAGTGTATTCCTGAGAGAAGACAAGGGAATAATTCCCATAACCCGTAGGGATTTCTTTCCACCAGGGGGTTTAGCAAGACTATCACAAGTTTAAAATAACAAAGTCAACACTGAAAATTCTCTTTATTATGTTTTGATTTCACAGAAAATGTAGACTTGTAAATAACAATAGCTCTTTGTAACAATCTGCGTGACACTTTTATTAGCTCATGGAAGTGGGAGGTTTGGTTAAACAGGGATCATGTGAATATCAGGAAAAAAAAAACTAGAGTTGGAACAACTATGATTTAGAAAAATAATAATCATGTTGGGCTTTGCAAACCACCTGTCACCTTGCTGATCCCCTGGAAAAATGTAAAGAACATTCTCATGGATGAGTGAGAATTTTCTCTGCCTAGCTAAGGAGAATAGCAAAATAAGCATGCCTTTGTAAGCTTATACCAGCGGGCTGTTTTGCAGAAGGTCAGCATAGACCTGACAAAAGCAATTCACCAGCTTTGGAACTGGCGAGGTTTATTTGTTAAGAGTACGTTTCTTGCTCTTAAGAGAAGGAAACCCAGGTTGAAGTACAGTAAACAGACACAAAAGGATGGCTCTGGTCGATTGGACGCCTCTCTGAGCCTTTATTTGGAGAACAGGCAAGAGCGGAGATGAATGTTCTTCAGCTGAATGAGACAACACCAGGCCCGGGCTAACCTTTAATAAATGAAATGTAATAACAATATCTTGGCCTGAAAATGCCATCGAGGACAAGTGCATGCTCAGTCATGTTGGCTGCTTCGGAAGGAGCCCTGCTTTAGGTTTTGTAGAGCTGATGGAAGATTCCTTAATAAATTAATCAGGCTGAGAAATGTCAATGTGAAGTTCGATTTTCTGACTCAAGAGCTACTTTCTTTGAAAAAGAAACGTGATACCTGATGTTATCGAGCTCTGTGGTAACTCCAACAGAAAGGAATATGGTTCTGACGATCAAGAACATCTCTTGAAATGAACCTGGGCAGCCTTGCACAGAGCTACACCATGGGCGAAGAGAATGTGGGCAGTGGCCCAAGGCTCTGCACCTCTGGGCCTCCCAGTGCCCCCTCGGGGAGTAGATGCTGGGAAGGGACAGGGAAATGACCACAGGAGGAACGGCGGCGGTTACCCACCAGAGCTGAGAAAGCCACTTGCTCCGTCACCAAGTTCAGCCAGTCACGTGGCAACAGCCACCTGGCTCTTTCCCTCTCAGTCTTTTCCCCACCATCCAGCCCCACACAGAATATGTTGCCATTTGATAGATCCTTCGGGAATGTTCCTTTCAGTCTGGTGATATCCGTATTGTGCCGGGGCCTCCATCCTGGAGGGGCACAGAGCCACAGCTGAGTGTGGTCCTGGCCCTTGGGGCTCTCATGCTGGAGCTTGAATGTAAGAGGCTGTCCGAGGGTAACCAGAATGCACACCAACAAGGCGTGCTCACAGAATACACAGATTAGTCCAGTAGAGTCTTGCAAAGTGCAGACCAATGTAGGAAGGCACAATGACCGAAGAAGACAACTCATTTGCTAAGATCAGAGACCTGTGCGGGTGATATCTTTATTGTAGAAAACCCCACCGAGTTAGTTGAGATCTCCTATCATGTTAGAACTTTTTTGGGTACTGCAGAACATTAGTGAGCATCCTCTTGGGTCTAGAAATCTTTGTTTTATAGTAAGATTTTCATTGAGAGGGAATTTGTAAGGGATCGAACTGAGCAGATTCTTTCATTTTGTTTTGGATAATTTGTGCCACACATTCCCTTAAAAGCCTCGGGTAATCAAGAGCTCAGTATGACTTAGAATCATGCTGTCTCGATCCTCCACCAAACCCTAAAGAAAATGAGTTTGAATTTATCTTCAACTGTTTTTAAATGTTTTCCCTTAGTAGTGGAGATTTCCTCTTTCAGAAGTAAAAGCAGATAAAAATACTTCACTCTCTTATTGTGCCCTCCGTGGTGGCCACACCCACCGCCACTTGAGGTGGCTGCCATAGCCTCCCTTACAGATTAGGAAAATTTGTGCCCTTGCTCATTATCAAGAAGGCTGCATCTGAGCATGAAATCAAAGTCAGATCAAAACATCCCAGCAATGAAAAGAAATTATGACCATCCCCTTTGGATGCTAAATGACTTAGAATCCACTTGGGTTAATTCTGAGACAAATTAGATAAAGTGCTTGACTTTCCTGACTCCTCTGTTTGCCATGGAGTTGGGGGGCAATGGCAGATAAGTGCACAGAGGCCTTTACTTCTCTTGATCTCAGCTTCCCCAGATACAGAGTGGAGGGAGCTGAGATGTCCTCTTAGATCCTCTCCATTTCTATATGCACCCATGGAGTTATGATTTCATAGTTCATCCAGCACGCAGAAGGGCTGACAGTTGTGGGACCACTGTGCAAGTCCCCTCACCACCCCCAGAAAGGCGTCCACAGGCAGCTGCAGTATAACTAAGACCGTCCACCTGCCTGGACTTCCCACTCACCCCTGAAGGCCCACACTGAGCTCAGAGCAACTCTGTCCTGCTCCACTCTTCCCACCCTCTGAATCCACAAAATAAGAAGAGGATAGAGCTACTCTGGAAAAATCAAATGACAAATTTTGGGGTTTGGAAGTGAGAGAATGGAGATGAATTCTGTCGTTTTGACAAGGGCTAGGAGGCAAGCGTTAATTCTGGCCAAGGATCCCAGCAGGTTGTTCTCCGTGAGCCTCTGTCTAGATGTCCTGCAAGGACCAAGAAACTGAAGGCCAGGCTCCCAATGAACGAGTGAGCCTGTCACTGGGCACAGGGTACAGAGAACGGAACATCTTCTTAGTAAATGCGAAGAGACCACACTGAGAACCAGAACCTCACTGTACCAAGAGGATGAGAACTATCTTCAGATATTTCACCTTTCTTTCACTTACTTTGCAAAATGGGGTGGCAGCTTCTCTATTTTCCCTGAATGTCATCTTTTGTCTCATGGCCGAAGCCAGCCACAATTTGCACATTGATGTGCAATAATTATAGCTGGTCCCTTAAATATAGTCTCCAAATGACGATTTGTTTGCAGTATAATATACTAGGGTTGCCAACTATATAAGCAAAGCTGTGTGTCATTTGCTCTAGGCTCTGGTGTCTTGTCATCTTGTCAGCCTCAGATGAACACAATTCAACGTGACAGCTCTTTTGAACATGCTTGAAGGGGGATGGGTAGAAGCTGGTGCTCTTCGGCACACGTGGCCAACTCGTTCTGGGCATCTGTTTATGGTGCAGGTGTGACTTAGCTCTGGAAACCTCTCTGTCAGCGTGCTGGTTCCCTGGTCTTGTTGTCCCTGAAGTTTTCTTTCTCAAAGCCATTTTGTCTACAAAATTCCACAGGTCACATGCATCATATCAGACAGAAATATCATTCCCCCTTTTTTCCTTATCTGTACAGACACGTTTTCTGATATTCCACTTACCAAGTTATTTTCCTCCATCTTCCCTCAATAGGTAGAGAACACTGCCAGAACACTTTCAGATCCTAAGGAAGAAGTCTCATTCCTCAAAGCTTCTTTATATCAAGGGGACAGTAATGCAGAGCAATTCCTTTCTAAGGCTCTTGCAATTGTAAAGATTCCAAACTGTACCAAAGGACAATGGTCCCACCTTGTCACATCAGACTTTAATAAGGCAATAAACACCTTGAAAAATATGTATTTGAAACCTAAAGTCCATTGAAAGCCATTCTTCTCCAAGCAATTACCAATTACCCCTGGAGGGGTTGGCTGTGAAAATCACTTGATCAGGCAGAAGCCTTGCTTTGTCTTTTCAAGATATAAAGTTAATTCAGTGGCAATTGGTCCTGCTGTCTTTATCCTCCAGAGCAAAGTACAGAATTTCTCAAACTGTGAGCATTTATCGTGAGACACAGAAAAAGCTCCTTTGGGACACTCTTTCCCTCTGGCCAAGTGCTCCAGAAAGAGGAAAGGTCTAGGTGGGTGGAGACTGGGATCAGCTCGACAACCCCCACCCCGCCGCTGCCCCCCTTCCCCTCTTAGCAGTCTGTCCTGACCAGGAAGAGATGTGCCCCCAGAATGCTGGAAGTCGGGGAGGATAAGGCATGCTTTATGTGCAGCATGTGGCCCTTGTCCTGGGGCCCTAAGGGAGGGAGAAGGGGCTTCTGTTGAGACAAAGGTCACATGCCTTAGGAAGTATCTCCCCGAGAAAGCCCAGTGGCCCAGGGTCCTTGCAGATCCCACGGAGTCCTTGCAGGAGGGCAGGTGGGCGGGGCCTTCCGCCGACGTCATGTGGGAGCCGCCCAGTCAGCGCTCTTGGGGGCCTTGCACGTGTGCACGTCCAGGGCCTCCAGACAGTCCTGACAGCGCACGGCACAGCACCAGTGGAACTTACACTCGCACTTGGTCATCCGGGTGACCCGGGAGGTGTCGTAGCCTCTCCCGCAGCACATGACCTCGCAGCTGTCCATGCCGCGGGAAGTCAGGTTGCACACGCGGCCTGCTGTCCCTGGGGAGCCTGGAAGACAAGCCGGGGAGGGGTCACTGAGAAGGTGTGGGCCGAATACAACTCAGGAGTGGGGGATGGTGCCCGGCCCCTCGTCACCACAGCCTGGGGCTGAGCCCCTGTTCTGAGGCCCACGCAGGGTCTGTCATCCCCAGGCACCGGGCCGCGGTGAGTGAAGCCCTGCCCACAGGGCCAAGTCTGAAGAAGACTGATGCGAAACTTTGGAGCTGCCTCGGGCAACTTACCTCTAGGGCTCCCATTTCTGAGCTGGATAAACGTTTTGAGTTTAGCCCTACCCAGGCTTACACTGGTGGATCACGGAGTGTGCAAGGCCAGCTCAGAATGAAAGAAGGATCTATCCTAGATCCCTCTCACCTGCCCTCAAACCACATCAAGGAAGCCGTGACCCAGGTTCAGCAGTTGTCAGAATTCCTTCAAAGGGAGGGGATTCTCTCTCCCCAGACCTGACTACCCTGCCTTATGTGAAAGAGGAGAGAACTCTGGCTGCTGAGGGGGAGGCGTGGGCATCGTTGGTGTAAGACCTTGAGGAGGGAGCAAAGCCCGTCTGCTTTACCACAAGCGCTGTGGGCCAGTGGACCATCTAGAGGTGTGTGAGGCTCCTGGGCGAAGCCAGGATGCTAAGCCTGCAATGAACAGAAATGGCTTAAAAACCTTTTGGGAACTACCACTGGAACATTGTCTTAGTTATTTAAGGTGAGGTTTCCTAAAATGGCAATTCATTTTTATGTATTTGTGTCTGAAAAAGACTCTCAAAGACAGGATGCGTCCTCATGTGTTCTATTCCTGGGGAAGCACCGGAATTCTTTCGTAAGAGTATTATTAGACAACAGAACAAAGTGTAGTGGGCCTTTGTGGAGAGTTTGCTCAGCTCAGAAGGATCCATTCTGCTTCTTCTCCGGCACAGAAATGGACACTTGGCAGCCATGCTGAACACCATCACTGGCTCTGCTGGTGGCAGGTGACTGGACAGGGCCTGGGGACCTGGCTCATGCCAGCCAATCAGGTGGACTTCCCTGGGGACTGGCAGTTTTGTGGGAGTTACGCAGTTGTGCCAAATACATATTCAGTAGCCCCTGGCAGCCATGCACCATGATGAAGTGTGTGGGCAAGTGGAGGTCTACAGAGAAGTAAGAATGAGATGGATGTACTTAGTGAAGACAAGACATGGAAAGAGGTTGCCGCCCAGATTCTGGACTATCTTCCTGGAGCTGCTTCCATATATCCCTGAGGCCTGGCTGCATTCCAACCTTTGGGTTCCTAGAGATTCTGTATCCTTATGATAAATTTCCCCTTTCAGCTTAAACCACTCCGGTTTCTATTACTTGCAATCAACAATCCTAAATAATTGACAAACTGAGAGAAGCTAAGCTCCTTATTTAAAAAAAAAAAAAAAAAAAAAAGTGTGTCAGGATGAAAAAGACAGGGTCTTCATTCATTTCCAGTTCCTCTATCATTTAACAAGGAATTTCTCCTGCTTCATAACTCCTGCCCTGCCTCGTGACTCTCTCTTTGTTTACTGCAATCCAAACTGTGTTCCAATTATCTACATAAATGTCCTGCTGCCCTGCCTGTCAAGAATGACCCAGGAAGCAGCCAGGTTCCAGCAGGCCGTGAGGTCAAGAAGAGGAGAGGGCTGGGCAGAACTCGTTCTGCGAGATCAGGCCACTGACGGCAGGAAGACAGGCAGGGGATTTCATGATGACCGGAAGGATGGCAAAGGGCTGGGGTCAGGGGGGAAAAGGGGGTCAGCCAGGGATGGCCAGGAGCCTCTATCGTGCTGAAGAAGCACACAGAAGAGGCAGCACGCGGTTGGGGGCAATCGTCAGGACAGTGCTCAGAATTACTGACTGGACAAGAAGGACTGCTTCTTAACAGCACGCCTGTTATTTCATTCAACAAACATCTAATGAACACAAACATGTAAGACACTGTGCCGACTCTTTAGAGTTTTGGGTAGTGGTGGTGGAGAGGTAAAAATATTAGAATTCACTTCCTGTTCTCTGAGAACTCATACTATAATGAAGAGATTACTATGTAAAGAGGTACCTGCACTATTTCAAGATAACTGTTCTGTTTGCTGAAGACCTTCTGTAACCTCCAGGAGAGGTTTGGGCAAAGCAGCACTGGAGACAAACTCACGATGGTAGAATCAGGTTATTTAGAGCTTGGACACGTCAGGATCCAAGTCTTAGCTTTTGCCATGTATCAGCTGGGTGACCTTGGGCAAGCTGTTTCATCGCAGTAGGGGTCAGTTTCTTCCCTTGCGAATCTGGGATAAAAATGGAGTTCCTTCCTCACAGGACTGGGGTGAGGAGGGAATGAGATCCTGCAGGAAAAACACCTGTCAAATAAGGGCTCAGTGAATGTTACCCTTCTACTCACTAGCCAGTGTTTATTGAGTGCCTACTATGTGCTAGGCACAGTTGTGGTAGCTGGGGATATATCAGAACAAAACAGAGATCCTCCTCCGAGGAGCTTATGTTCCAGAGAGAGTGAGTCAAATATATAGTAATGATAATGAGTGTTATTAATACCAATAGCAGCAAACAGGGTCAGAAAAGAAGCTGTTACCAGCACAGTTTTACAGAGGTGGCTTTGGAGGTAGGAGGGAGAGGTCTGGAGGGAGAAGGGGGCGAAGGGCATCTTGGGTAAGACAGAACCTCCCAGCAGACCCCCCGGGGTGCGTTCACGGGACGCAGAGCCAGTGTGGCCGCGGCACAGGCGGGGGGAGGCAGGGGTTCAGGGCCTTCCTGCCTTGCTACAGTTTGGGTTTCATCCCATGGTGAGCAGCAAGCCTGTCCAGATTTGTCATCAGCGGAAAGCCTGCCGGAATGGGGCAGGGAGGTATCCTTGAAGCAGCTGGTTAGTCCAGGCAGGAGATGATGAGCGTGGGACAAATATGTGATGGGTGAAAGGGGGGAGAATCACTAGGACTTGGGGACTCACGGAATTGGGGGCAGGGGTTAGGAGGAAAAGACTGAAAACTGAGCACTTGGCTCAACATGATGGAGATAACAGGCACCCTCTGAGGAGAGCTGCTTTAGCAGAACCACAGGACGCAGCAGTGATCGCGGAGTGAATGGGGGCGAGGGCAGACGGACACGGAGTGTGGCCAGTTTTCAAGAAGCTTGGTCGCAAAGTGGACAAAAGAGCATGGCAGCAAGGACTGATGAGTCTGAGATGGGACTTTCAGGTTGTTTTAGACTGTGAAATTTATGGGTGGTTTTTTTATGCAGCTGTAGACATCAGACACAATTCGGTAGGTTCTAATTACATAAAGTATGAAAGTGGAAAAATCAGTCTATGCTATTAGAACTCAGGGTAGTGATTTCCCTTGGGAAATAGTGAAAAGGGGCATGAGGGAGGTTTCTGGAATACCAGTCCTCTTCAGGTCTCGGTCTGGGCATAGATTATATGGGTGTGATCGTTGGAGACCATTCCCTGAGCTATACAGGTGGAGTGCACTTGTCTGTATGTGTTTTATGCTTCAGTAACAAAAAGAAGAGGGAGGAGGCCACATAGGCAAAACCAGGAAACCAGCAAAATTCTGATATGTGAGGAGCGGAAAGGTGTTTAACCTGGCTAGAGGGCAGCATTCAAAGGAGAGTGTGGCAAGAGGTGAGGCGGGAGAGGTGGGCAGAAACCCGGATGTGGAAGGCCTTGTGGGACAGGTGAGAGCATTGAAACTTTAACCCAAGGATGAAAGAGGGCTACCAAGAGCTTTTACCCAAAGGGGGACATGGTGGATTTATATTCAGAAGGCTCACGGTGGGTGCTGGGGTCAGATGGATTGAAGAGAGCCAGGGTAAAGGCAAGGAGCCAAGTTAGCGGTGAAGTGCCCTGGGGAGGACACAGGGTGACCGGGACAAGGACAGTGCTGGTGGGGGTGGGAGAGGTTAAAGGGTTCAGGGGACCTTGGAGGAAGCAGGATGGGCAGGACACAGAGGGTGAGGGTCAGGAAATACTCCCAGGCTTCTGGCTCGAGTGACTGGGTTTATGTTGGTGACCTTCCTTGGGGTGGGACACCTGGAAAGGGGCAGGCTTTGAGCCGAGATACTGAGTTTTATTTTCAACACATTGACTTTGCTGTTGATAGTGGGTCCTCCAGGCAGGAACATTCACTGAAAATATTCTTTGGGACTCCGGAGAGAGGTCAGCGTGGAGATGCAGAGTGGGAAATCTTTACCTCAGAGGTGACCACTGAGCCATGGTGCAAAGGAGACCCCCCCCAACGGGTGTGAGAAGCACTGTCACCTGTCTCCCCAGAGGCTGCTGAATTTTCACCTTTTTGTGTTTTTTCCATAAACCTGCACACCCATAAGCATTCTTCACTTCCACCAATATGCATTCATTAAAATAAGAATGCACGCAATTGGAATTTTCTCTCCCTCTTGGTTCTGTGAGGTGTGTGTGTGGGGGTGGGTGGGTTATGGCTGGAACAGGGAGGTGAAGAGTCTTATTCCCGAATCAGGCTATGGGCTTTTTACTGATATCAAACTTGGTGACCTTTCCCCAGTGGCCTGAAGCCTAAGAAGGTCCTGAGCTAGTGGTCTGACCAGTCGCAGCGATGGTTGGGGTGTTTTTGTCCTTCGGATGCAAAAAGTTGAACCAGACTCTGAACAGAAGGAGGGCTTAGGGAAGTGACCTCAGTGCCATCAAATCTCTGAGAGAGGTGGTCAAAGTGATGGCCACTGACAAGAGCTTAACTCAGAAGTGGTTTCAGTCGAGGAGACAAAGCCTCTGGCACTGAGATCTCAGTAGCTCAGCGTTCGGTTACAGCACACCAGAGAACACCACTCATCTGGACACACCACTCTCCTCTGGCCGCCCAAACCGGACATGAAGAGGGCCCAGAAGGAGGAAGAAGAGAAGGGATTTTGAAGGTTGAGAGCCTCTGATGTGAGAACAGGGGTCACAGCCTGGAGGAGGAATGGCCCCCTTGCGAGGACCCCAGGCTCTCAGGAATGTGCCAGCCAAGAGGTGCAGGGCAG